GTAGCTGCTGGTGAGACCAGCCATCAGCAGCAGATGCTTGGACACGGGCTGAGACGATGCCAGTGCCCTGGGGGCAGGGATGAGGCACACCAGCACAGAGCCCAGCAGCCACGGTGTGGGGCCTGCTGACTTGTTCCCCCAGAACCCTTGCCGCACAGGGGCAGCAGAGAGCTTGACCAGGACGATGGTCCCACGGATTGCAGGGGCTACTTCCTTTGGGCACTTAGCATCCAGAACAACATGTCTGTTGTCGTCCCCAACAGCGACACAGCCTTGAACCGGGGGCTCTGCCAGTGGGTTTGCTTTTGCACTGGCATAACCTTTAAAACCTCGTCCCTGAGGGACGCCCCCAAGAAAACGTCAATGATCTCAGATTCCTTGATGGGCAGGGAGAAGAGATAGATCTCCTCCAAGGACGTGAACTTCCTGTCCTTGACCAGGCGGCCCACGCGGCCACATCCTCCCGGCCTGCAGGTCCCCCTCCCGCAGCAGGGGTGTCACCAGCCTTTGGGGTTTTCCTGGAGAAGAAGCTGGAGGCTTCTGGTTGGCTACAGGGAAAGTAACTCTGGGAAGATGGGAACAGAAGAACCAGCCCTGCCTTAACTTGGGGTCCTGAACGGCACGGAGCGGCTCAGAGACCAGCGCTCGAGTAGGTGCCGGCCTTTCCTCTCGCTTCATCATTACCTTCCCATCAGCCAAGCGGAAGTAGAAGGAAGCCCTCTGGGAGGAAATGCTGGGAATATAAAACCCAAACTGCACCTTGTTAACAAAGAAACCTGCCTAGGCTGGGAGCTCCAGGACGGTAACAGTACAGGTCTATGCTGGGCAGTGCCCACGCCCCAGCTGCCTACAGTACTAACTATGGGGACTCCTTCATCGCCAAGCATCTGAGTGTCTACTGAGCTCTAGGCACACGTGAGCAAGACAGAGCCACATGGCCTTGGCCCTCCTGGAATTTTATTCTGGTGGGACACCCACTTCAAATGATCCCAGAAATAAAAGTACGTAAAGAGATAGCTAATACTTCCCACTATAAACAGAAGGCCCTTCTTTATGTGATACGCCAAAAATCCCTTTTAGAGTAACATATCACCCCATTTTACAGCTGAAAATAAAAAAGATACATTAAGCAATTTGCCCAAGGTCACCCTACTAACTGCCTCAGTGCAGCAAGGCCGCGAGCCCACGCTCTAACCACACAGCAGGTCGCCTCTGCTCTGTCACTGCGGCCGCCGGGCCCCCAGTGAGATCAGCAGGAAGAACAGGCCACAGCCTTCCTGCTCCCACCAGAGCCTTTCCGGCTGTGCCCACCAGCACGGCCCTGGCTCCACGGAGCAGTGTTATCATGCTCTTCTCACTTGGCTCCTGGAGAAACATTCCTTCTCAAGTCTTTCAGAAACTCAGAGCCAAAAACACAGGGAGCTGAGCTCGCCCTAGCCAGTCTGGCTCAGGGGATGGAGCTTCGACCTGCAGACTGAAGGGTCCTGGGTTCAATGCTGGTCAAGGGCATGTACCTTGGTTGTGGGCTCAATCCCCAGTAGGGGGTATGCAGAAGGCAGCTGATGGATGTTTCTCTCTCATCCATGTTTCTAACTCTCTATCCCTCTCCCTTTCTCTCTGTAAAAATTAATAAAATATATATTTTTTAAAAAGAGACCCAATCTATGCTGCACAGTATCAAAATACATCTTGGAATTTGTATTTGCCATGGAGAATCCACAAGTTACATAAACTCAATATAGTAAGGATAAAATCCGCCCATTTATACCTGGTCCTGACCAGCAGACCTCCACCCCAGAATCCCTGTGCACACACCCCAGCTCCAGCATAACTTGGCCTCGCATTAGAGAAAGATTGCCACCTTGCTTCCAGATTCTCTAAAAAAAGAAATATAATTTAAAAATTATATACACTTAATCATTATATATTTCTGTTTGGAGATAGCCATGAATATTTTCTTCTAGGAACATTATGTTGATCCTTTTTTACATAGATTCTTGAGTTGACATCATAGTTACTATTCCTAAATATCTGCATGTTTGGCATCATTAATATTACAAAAATATGTTTACTTGAGAATTTTGTTCTTTATGTGAATACTTCAGTTACGTTAGTTGCCAGAATACACACAAGTGCACACACATATAACAGGAAAGTATTTGTGGCAAAGTAATAATTTGAGAAATCAAGCAGCATGCATTACGCATACACCCTGCAACACTGCATTCAGACCAGGAGACATGAGTTACAAAATACCATGAGGAAACAGTTGCCCCTATCATCAACCCAACATCAACCCAAGGGAGGGAATGAAAAATTGATTTTTTTCATTCTAAATCTGAAAATATATAGTTAATATATTATAGATAAGGAGCAGCAAAAAAAAAAAATGCTCAAATCTTAAGTTTGAGATCAAAGACCTACTGTAAGGAAAAGGATACTGCTACATATTTTCAACAGAGGGGAGCTGCTCTCCACCCTACCTCCTCGCCTTCAACACCACTGCCTACTCCTCACTCCCATTCGAAAGGGTTTGAGCATGTGAGAAGAAGAGAGAGAACAGAATCCAACTAAAATTGAAAGAGGAAAAGAATGAGCAGTGGGGCATTTTTGACTCTTGTCTACCTCTGGCCAAACTAAGGACTTGAGGGTTACCAAGGCATTCTCCTGTGATGTGTGAAACGTCTACAGAGAAGATTGCTAATACATTTCCCAGGTTCAGTTGGAGAGTGACAGTCCTTGTAAAACCTGTGCAGCCGCTTTGGACTTGAAGGAAACAAGGGTGAGATGGCATTGTGCACACAGACATGAGAGGTTACCCGCCCCAACCGGCATCAGCTGCAAAGCGTGGAGATCTGCAAATACCTCATGGGCCCCAAGTGAAGACAAGCCAATGAGCAATTCTAAGAGCCTCCATGCGGAGGAACCCCTCCTGGGAGGAGGAGGAGGAGAAGGTAGCTACCTGGTGTGATTTCTCCAGATGTCAGCCAAAGCAGGATAACAGACTACAGGAACATCAGCAGCAGAGAAAATGGGGGTGACTTCTTTCTGCCTTCAACATCATGAGAGGAATTCCCCCCACCCCTCAGTGCAATTTAGATGTTAGATCAGGAAAAAGGGAGAGACAGAAACTTTACAAGGGAAAACAGTATTGATGTCGTTGAACACTGAACTAATTCAACTATAAACTCCACGATGTCCATTTTATAGATCTTGACTAAGCACTTAGTGCGTTGGACAGGTTTAATTTGAAAACAAGCTGAAGACTGAGAGGCAGAAATTCAAGTCAGTCTAGAAATAGAATTACTCTTTGGAACCGAAAATGTATGACCATACAATTAATACCAATTACATGTACATATCACACACTACAGAATAATACAGTAGTTTCCTAGACACACAATTTTTGGCCTGACGCTTTTGGAGGTGAGTGGATGAGACGTGAGCATGAAAAGGAATGTTCAAAGGGACCATTTGCTAGAGAACATAAGCACAACTAATGACAGCATTTGGTTTGCCAAGAAAAGCCAAAAGGCAGGAGATTGAGCCTTGTAATTCAAGAGTTTGAAGTGTCAGCACGTGAAAAAAGAAACTCCTCCTTATGCAACAGCAACTCAATTAAAGGGAATTAAAAGTTGATTTTTACTCTTAATCTGAGAATAAATGTAGTTGATTTATGGGTGTAAGACCTCTTCTTCTCAACTGAATCCTGCCTCCTCCATAAGATCCACCTTAAGTGTTGGCAAAAATGCCACTTGAGAAAATTATAGTAATCTAACCTGGCTGCAGACAACTTTGCACCCAATCCTTTGGAGCCAACCAGGATTTCTTTCTTTCTATACTTTGAAGATGATAATATGTAAGTTAATTATATTTAAACTGTTCTTTTCAAAGCTAACAAGAGAAAGCTGCAACTCTCCCATGCCACCCTCTCATGAGAAAGACAGGGAAAGAAACCAAAATCAAAAACGCTTTTACTAAGATCTGCAAAAGTCGGGTTTTGGTTAGTTGTTTTTACTGCCAAAAATTAACTTTCCCCTCCCACCTCTTTACCTCTGTGTTGGCTTTTGGCCACTGGAAATCAGCGTTAACAGGGTGGGAAGGAAAGGGTTTTGCAGTGGGGAGGAAAGAGAGGAAGAATTCACCTGGCTGTGGTTGAATCAAAACATTCACAAAGATGAGCATCACCTGCAAAGCTAAGTGCTACTTCTCAGGAATGGCTCCTCGGGGCCGTGCAGAAACAGCAAACAGTAAAGGAGTGGATCCCAGCCAGGCGGCAGGTGGAACAGGTGCAGAGAGACGGGCGTCTTCAATGCCAAGGTGAAAGTGGCCCCTCCCCCGTCCTCCTTTGTTCTTCATTTTGAGCTTGGTGACAGTTCTCCTGTATTTACATTTCTTCAGGAGAAAACAGAACCAAGGCTTACGCTTCACAATTTACATCACTGATTTCATGTGCTAGCATGTCTCATGATTAATTAGCTTCCAACAATTTCAAAAACGTTTTTCCCCCTGCACCTTGGAGACTCTGGGAGTGGGTGGTCCGCAGTGTAAATAGGAACTTGATGATATGGCAAGCCTTGTATCCCACCAGCTGGCCTTTGCCTATGATGGGTGTCCTGCCTTGTTCTAGCCACTCTTCCTTTCAGGGCCTAAGCCACTTCCAGGTGTGGCCACACTTCCCTCCTCTATTGGGATCCCTCTTGGCCTATGTCCAGCTTGAACAGGGGCCCGCAATCTCTGCTCTCCTTTAGGCATGGTGCCTCTGCAAACTGAGCCTGCACAGGTTCCATTCTGCCAGGACCGCATGCCAGCCATGACCTGCCATCGGCAGAAGGCTCCACCAATGCCCAAGCTACCCTACCTCAGCTAATCCGTGCCCCAAGTCCCCTGCCTCTCGCAGTGGACACGTGTCTGATTGAAGGAGGGAGCGTATCCCAGCAAGACATGCACTCTCCGCTTAACTCCTGGATCACACATTACCTGCAACATCCTTCTATTGCCTACTGGCCTCCACAGGGGGAGAACACTGTTTCAACAGAAGACAAACTTCAACTCCATTTTCTCACTGAGTGCCACATGTTGATCCCCACGCTATTAAGAGGCATTGGTGCTGACCAAGTGGTACTTGTATAAGTTCTCGGATTGGTGTCTGCTCTTTCCCCCAGTGACTGTGCCACTCCCGCCACTCGGAGTCCCAACATCACAACAGGTTCATGCATTCTCCGTGCCCTCTTCCTCTTTTCTCATTGGGTGACTTTTCACGTGGCCTTTTCTGCAGATCAGCCCCTCAGAATATGCCAGCTGGGGAAATGGAGAGTGGAAACACTGCTTTAAATTAAAAAGAAAAAAAGTAAGAAAAGAGAAAGAGACTTTTCATCACCCTGAATTAGACCCAGTTTTCTCACTCTGTCACCACCCTCACAGAAGCTGGCACACTCTTCAGGAGCTGTCCCTCTTTTTACTATGACAGAGAGGAGAGCAGGGTGGGGAGAGAGGGAGGGAGGGAGGGAGAGAGAGAGAGAGAGAGAGAGAGAGAGCTTGATTCAATGCATTAGATAGATTTGGCTAGACTGACGTCATTGCTCATTAAGAAAACAGGCAATCTACTTCTTGTTCCCATTGGAGAAAATAAATCTGCACAGAGCCAGGCCAAATAATGTGTAGCAAATGATCAATGTTAGCTGAGGGAGATGATTGATCCTTTATTTCTTACACCCTCTCATGCATAATGCATAAGATCCGGGATGTTCTCAGCTTGCCTCAGGCCCCGGCCGTGATGTACCGCATTACTATACAGAACACTCGTTCTGAATTGCTAGTGACAGTCTCTACATCCCTGAGCAAGTGGGAGCCAGGAATCCTTCAGAATCCCAGTCGCCGATAGTGCTGTGATGGATTTCTGAATCCTTCCCAGGCCTTTTACAAACACACGCATGACTCAGGGAAAGTCTCAAAGAGACTCCGGGCCTCACTGCTCCCTAATGCAAAACAGAAGGGACAACACTGGCCTTTTTCAGAATGTCAAATATAATATTATAAAAATGGGAATCCTTTGAAGAACCAAAAGTGAGGGTGGAAAGTGAACTGTTTACTTTTCACAATAATGATTAAGTTTCACAGAAGCCAGTTAATCCTTCGTGATTTTAGAAGAAGCTGGCTTCTCAAATGTTGTATCTTAAGTTGAGATTCTTTTGCTGTTATTTCTCTAGACTCAAATGGCAGTGATGATGATGATGATGATGATGTTGATGACAGCAATGATGGCGGCTACTTTTTTAAACACTGATTTGCTGGGCTATCCAGGCATCACCTTCTGTAACATCAACCGAGGCTTAGAGAACCTAATTAACTTGCCCAAAGCTCACAGCTAATAACCACTGGGTTCCAGAGCCAACACTACTCATCTGTACATGTGAATGCTACTGGGGTGGGACTGGGGTCAAAATCAAAGAATCGGAGTATCAAAGTATAAGGGGCCACCTTCAGTAAACAGGCTGGGAGAAGATTTTGTAAACTAGCAAAAATTGAAAAGAACTGATGGGTTTTAACCCTTACTAGGGGCCAATCATCATACTAGATTCTTTACATAAGTTTCAATAAAAATAATAATGGTTAAGATGATAACCAATTTATGGGGTAGGTACTATCACCCCTGTGCTAGTCATTAAGCAATTGTTTCTCAATTTCAAACCACCTCTCCACGCAATGCGATGCGGGGGCTGGGACTCTGAAGACTACATTTCTGCGTTATCAGCCGGAGGCTCCCTCTTAGGCCCTGCCACTAGGGGGCATCAGAGAGAGATTGCAAGGCTGCAGGAGGAAGAAGGAAGGGGCTTGATCGTTCCGGTTTTATTTTTTTGCTTTTGTCTGCATCATCCCAGCAACACTTCTGAGGCCTGGCAGCCACAGCTCATCCCATCCTGCAGCAGCAGTTTCCATTCCAGGAGCAACAGGGATTCAAGTGTGCAGTTTCTCTAACACTTGTCGAACCAGCCTCATGGTCTTCCCTTCAGGGACACCAGCCCAGCCAGCCAGCACGCCCACTTCAGAGACCCGCATCCACCCTCCGCAGGGCCTTGCCTCCAATCTTCTAAGTTTGATCACTGCAACTTCGTCCTTTCGTTTCCCCAGCCACGGGGTGGTAGCTACTTCCTGCATAATCACCTGCATGGCACCGAGGTGTTTGTTTTTTAATTATTTTTGTTTCTCCATAACCAGGTTGACAATTTTTAATGTTACATTCCTTCTGTCACTTACCCAGTTGGCATGGCTCAGTGGTTGAGCATCAATCTGTGAACCAGGAGGCCACGGCTCAATTGCAGGTTGGGGTGCGTGTCCAGGTTGTGGGCTCCATCTCAGTGGGGGGCGTGCAGGAGGCAGCCGATCAATGATTCTCTCTCATCGTTGATGTTTCTATCTCTCTCCCCCTCTCCCTTCCTCTCTGAAATCAATAAAAATACTTTTTTTTTAAAAAAGTTCTGCGTTATCAGCCGGAGGCTCCCTCTTAGGCCCTGCCACTAGGGGGCATCAGAGAGAGATTGCAAGGCTGCAGGAGGAAGAAGGAAGGGGCTTGATGGTTCCGGTTTTATTTTTTTGCTTTTGTCTGCATCATCCCAGCAACACTTCTGAGGCCTGGCAGCCACAGCTCATCCCATCCTGCAGCAGCAGTTTCCATTCCAGGAGCAACAGGGATTCAGGTGTGCAGCTTCTCTAACACTTGTAGAACCAGCCTCATGGTCTTCGCTTCAGGGACCCCAGCCCAGCCAGCCAGCACCCCACTTCAGAGACCCGCATCCACCCTGCGCAGGGCCTTGCCTCCAATCTTCTAAGTTTTGATCATTGCAACTTCGTCCTTTCGTTTCCCCAGCCACGAGGTGGTGGCTACTTCCTGCAGAATCACCTGCATGGCACCGAGGTGTTTGTTTTTTAATTATTTTTGTTTCTCCATAACCAGGTTAACAATTTTTAATGTTACATTCCTTCTGTCGCTTACCCAGTTGGCATGGCTCAGTGGTTGAGCATCAGTCTGTGAACCAGGAGGCCACGGCTCAATTGCAGGTTGGGGTGCGTGTCCAGGTTGTGGGCTCCATCTCAGTGGGGGGCGTGCAGGAGGCAGCCGATCAATGATTCTCTCTCATCGTTGATGTTTCTATCTCTCTCTCCCTCTCCCTTCCTCTCTGAAATCAATAAAAATATTTTTTTTAAAAAAGGAAGTTCTTATGACACTTGAGATACACACACACACACACACATACACACACTTTCTCCTTTTTCAGAAAACCTTGCTCTTTTCCAAATCACTGGTGCATGGGACTAGTATGTCTTGCTTTTTACTGTGTGTTAAAGTGTAAATACAATGGGAGAGACTATTTTTTTCTTATTATATTTGCAAATTCACCCAAAGGCCACATTGCAGGGAGCCGATCTAAACCACATGACACACAACAGGCATATATTTAGAAAATCCTAAGAGGATCCTTGGGACATAATGAGTAATTTGACCAACCTGATGTCCCAATTCACAGTGAAAGGAAGAGTGGTAAACTGCAGAGAAAAAATCGTCACCCTTCTCCCTTGTAATGTGTCATTCCACGTAAGTGCCGTTGGCAGCACCTAGCACAGTATCACACATCCAGGGGGTACCTAATAAATACCGGTTGCCTCTGATAACACTGACATAACACGAAGGCATTATAATGAATAGTGGGTGATAGAAATATACGTAGGTAATAGTTTAGTAGTGGTCGTGTCTTTCAACAGCAGTTTAGAACAAGAAAGCCTGCTATTACCTTGTAGACAGATAACATTAAATGTGCAAACTCCAACTCCCTTGTCTTGTGTCAACTAAGGAAAATGAAAGTAGATGAAAGCACAAGTTCCCTTTCAGTAGCATAGAAGACGTCACTGCTCATTTGGGGGCTGTACTCAAGAATACACACCCTCTGAATGTGGAAACAGGGTCAGGAAACAACCGCCCATTCAAACCAAAAGTGGTAAGAGTCAGCATACATGGGATTACCATATTCAGTGGCCCTACGTGTCGGTGTATAAATGTGTTGCTGCATGGACTCAGGAATACATCAAGTCCAGCAGCCAAGGGCTCAAATGTAAGGAAAGTTATAACCCAATCAACTGTATGTGAGAATAAGTATAAAGAAGAGAGGTGCGTGTGCAATCAAGGAAAAGAATGTGAATTTGTCCACGTTTATCCAACAAGAAATAGACGTTGTATTAAGAAACAACTATTCCTGTTACTGAAAGAGTGACTCTATTTTGGGGTGCAGAGATATTTAATCCAGTTGTAAGAGACAGAACTATGTCAGAAACTATTCCCAGCATATATCTAACATAAAGAATGCCGGGTTAAAGAATTAAACCACATGACACACAACAGG